GTGAGGTTTTTACTCGAGCAGCCATAGAAGAAGAAAGGATGACATGCTTATATTTACTATTAATCTTTTTTACTTGCCTAGTATTATTTCCATCTGATTGTTTTTCAATATTGCGCGTTGATTGTGTCCTTCGATGACTATAGTCATTAATTTGGGGTCGTAATGATGGATGAGGCGGTGAGTTTCGTTTTGGAAGTCGAGCTTTTCTGGCCTCTGTTGGCGAACTGGCAATATCATCCATTTCGTCCATTTCAAAGTCATCCGGTGGTCGTAGAATGTCGTACGGATTAATAGACATTAATGGTTGCAAAGTTGTTTGTTGTTGTTCATGAACCGTTCTCGCGTAGGACGTCCGAATAAATTTATTTTTTGTATGTTTATATAGTTTTTGTATGTTTATATAGGGTTTATCGCCCTATTTACTAGATCGAATTCCCAGAAATTACTGGCATATATTTGTACGCATGTACAACTATTCATTTGCGACAGGCTTTATGCCGAAGAAATTCAAAGATGTTCGAATAGTCTTATTAGCTAAGAAAAATGCCATATGCTCTCCGGAGGAGACTAGACCTATTTTTCTGCTTGATTCATTCCCCAAAGTACAAGAACGATTATTTCTCGATCGTTTTTTACAAGTATTGAAGAACAGAGGTATTTTACCCGATTCGCAATCTGGATTTAGAGCTAATCATCGGCTGCAAACAAGAGTATTACTGTTGATTGATCAAATCTCCTCATATATGGCCAATAGTTCACCGGTGGCTACTGCATTTGTTGATTTCAAGTCAGCCTTTGACCAGCTATGGTTTTTAGGATGTCTGGCTAAACTTCGTCGTATGGGAATACCAAAAGCGTTTGTCAATTGGATAAGAGTCTGGCTGACGAATCGTAGAGGGCGAATTGAAGTAAATGGTAAATTCTCAAGATGGTTGGCTATATTACGTGGGGGTCCACAAGGTTCCTGTTTCACGGCAACGTTATTTATAACATACCATAGCGATATGGAAGATTTTCTGCCCATAGCAGTGTCGTTCTTTTTTGCGGATGATCTGGCAGCAGTGATAGCTGGAAGGATTGGAATACGATTTACCGACCAATGTATTGATCTTGAACGACGTCTCCATCGATTTTTCGAGTACTTCAAATTCTATGCCATTTTAGCAGTTCAACCCATAAATTACTCCAAAACGAAAGCAATGTTCTCCTAGGGCGGTCTGCTACCCGAACCCATTACCAGATTTACATTGTGGAACTGCATCCATAGAATGGGTCAAAATATTTAAATATTTAGGGTATTGGATCAGTACTAAGATTGGTTGGGGTCATATTATTGGCAAATCTCGTCTTCGCATTAGACAGCAAACTGCGATGGTCAATTCAATTAGATTCGGAGGATCCTCTTCAATATGCTTCGAAGAATTCTCTTCTCCACATTTGTCCTTCCCTTTTTCACATGGTTATTTGCCATTATGCCTCTGTTTACTGATGCCCAACGAGTAGAACTTAACCATTTCTACTACACATCCTTGAGGCGTATATACCACTGTCTACATTGGGAGAATTTCTTCTTTGCCTCAGCATATGACGAGCGCCCGTCGGATGACCTATGTTATGTTTATTGGTTAAAATTCTTCAGAGCTTTAGCGAATTCGCGGGATGGTTTCTTGCTATTAGAACAGTTTTCAAACAATGTCCATAGACCTCTGTGGCAAGGTGGTTCATCTCGAATTCGTTGTATACATATATCAAAGCGTTTTGTTTCGTATGTGGGCCTGTTTGGATTAATCTCTAAATGGATTCTACAACATGGCACTGTCGATTCGGTGGC